TGCTTACATTTTCTTAACTTTACACTGTCAAATTATATATTGTGACCATCCACTAATTGTTTCATAGTTTCATAATCTAAAAAGAAAAACTACTATGAACTCAATGGAACATATAAGTAAGAAAAAAAAATATCGTACGGTAAAAATATGTTTGTATGTTTGTTATTAACTCTAATAAACCCGTCTGAGTATTTCGAAATTTTTGGTTTTTCAAACGAATTATCTAAGTGGTCTCAATTTATACAGTTAGCAAATTAACTCTTACTTTGACATATTTGCACATTTAAAGTTTGTAAAGACCATAATAATGAGGTAATCTAAAGGTAACTAAGGTTAATATGCATTAACCATATATTAAAGGTTAAGATCATGGTTTATGTTTCCCTCATATTTGAGGGAAACATAAACCATTTTTATAATTGAAAACAATCAAAAAGTAAAAATGATCACAAAAGTAAGACAAAAATTTAATAAAGTAATCCTAGTATGCATTTTTGTAACAAATTAGCAGTGTCAATACTGCTACTAATTTTAGAAATCATATGTGAAACTTTAAGTTAGTTCTATACTGCATGCACAGAGATTTTTGTTACAAAGTAATTGAACTATTAATGCAAAATATGTATCACAGTACAAATATGTTTTATTTTCAACCCAGATGCTTGTAGAAATACTTGCAAAACTTTTGAATTTCACTTTTGCAATCGTGAAAAAATATTAAAACATATCATAAAACTATATAAATAAAATTTGAAGTTAGTTTACACATTATCTTGAAACGATGACTCGTTGAATGTTATTGTTACCTTAAAAAAATAAAAAACATTTGTAATCGTATTTAATTTGCGTAGGCCTCATTTTGTTTAGAGCTGAAATAACTTTTGTTGTGGACCATTAAAAGCACTAGATTACTATGGTATAAGAGAAGTTTCAAATTTCTATATTAAATAATTTCTAACAAATTGAAATCAAATTGTGTCTGTCAACGGATGGACCTCTAATATTTATGAATTTGCTGTTAATGTGTCTAAAGGGTCTCTACCGGGTTAATTATTTTTCTTAATCTATATAAATGATTTATCCAAAGCCATAAAGTTTCAAATAGTCCAGTACCTAACTGATAACACTAATCTTCTATTTTTATAAATCAATCTACAAGTTTAAGAAATATGTCAATTATAACAAAAAACAATTTTTTATTATAATTGACATATTTATTAATTTAACTCGTAAAATGCAAGCAAAATCTCTTTAAATTCAAGAAAAACAGTATTGACTATTTTTAAAACAAAGTTAAATAACCTGATCATCAATTTAAAATAAAATTGAAGGGAAAAAACTTTTTCCACTGAACTGTGCTAACTATCTTATAAAAGTGTTTGATGAAAAGTCAAGCTGGTATAATTATGATATTCATTTAACATTAAATTTACTCAGATCAAATGCAATTCTGTCTAAACTATGACATCTTGTTGACAAAAAACGTTAAAAGCTCTATATTTTGCCTTATTAAGTTCGCACCTCAGATATGGTTGTTTATCTTGACAATTAATTTATTCTGGTAGGAAACTTATCTCTTTTATTTAGGAAAAATCTATACTAATACTCATTTTTTAACCACATACTTCCTCAAAAATAGTTTATTCAAGAATCTTTAATTATTAAATTTTTAATCTAATAATAAATGCCAACACCAAGTCTACTAAATTCAAAGTCTCAAACAGACGGAATGCTTATTCAAGCTTTTTGTTCAAAATTTTATATACATACATGAACGTATTTTTGCTTTAGTTATGATTTATTTTCATTTAATATTTTTCGCTTTATTTTTTTTTTTGTTTTTTGCTTTACTTTTTAAACCTTTTTTCAACTTGCTTCTTTTGTTGTACTTGTCCTTTATGAGCTTATATTGTATACAAGGTTGCTCTTGTCGTTTTAGCCAGACTATATGAGAGTGAATCTTTCACTTTGTATTATTTTTTCAACATCTTTGTATACATCCACTTTTCAATGACATTGCAAATGTTGGACGCTCTTTTCTAACGCTTGAAAATCACTTTTTGAAAGTAAAAGTAAAAAAAAAAACATTTATATATTAAGCAAAAAATAAAATCAACAAAAAAGAAACTTAAATATATGCTTTAAAAGAAGAAAAGGAAAAGAGATATCTGAAAGAAAATAGGCAAAAAAGTAATGAAAATAGAAGTTAAAAAAACGTTAATGAATGAAATATAAAAAAAAGAATAGCAAAGAAAAAAAATATATTTTTAATCAGCGGAGCTTCGTTCGCCAAGAATTTTTTTTCTTTTTTCTTTTTTTTTTTCTTACATACTTTTTTAGTTTTCTTTTATATATTTCTTTAGTTTTATTTCATATATTTCTTAGGTTATTTATTTTATTATTTGTTTATATTTCTTCAGTTTTTTAACGTATATAGTTTTACTTAATATTTTTTGTTAGTCATTTTTTTTTTTTTATGAGTTAATATTTAATTTTAGTGGTATATAAACTGTTATATACTTCATTTGTTTTTGTTTTCATTTTAACCATTTATTATGTGCTTTATTCTACCGTGTATTACTATTATTTACATTTTTATTCATAAGCTGCTTTTTTTGTTTTTTATTTTTTTTCGTTTTGTTTTTTGCCAAAGGTAATTTTTTGTTTTGTTTAAAATGTTTGTTGTAACTTTTGTTTTGTTTTGATTTACTCAGTGTTTTTCTGTTTATATTTTATTTATTTATTCGGTCATAATATTTACAATGTATTTTGATTATTATATTATAATAACTATGACTATATTAAAATATTTACTTAATCTTTATTATTTTTTAGCAGTATTTGTTAATATGTTACCATATATATATATATATATATATATATATATATATATATATATATATATATATATATATATATATATATATATATATATATATATATATATATATATATATATATATATATATATATATATATATATATATATATATATATATATATATATATATATATATATATATATATATATATATATATATATATATATATATATATATATATATATATATATATATATATATATATATATATATATATATATATATATAATAATTTTTTTTAAGTTATTTACTTGAGATAAGTATTTCAACACTTTTTGTAAAAAGCGTGAAAATTTATTTTCAGAATATATATGATTGATTAATTGTATGATATTTACTCGTATATTTAATTTTATTGTTGTTAATGTTATACAAAGTACTTAAATGTATAAAGACTTAATAATAATATACCTATATTTTTTAAAATATCATAACCAGACTATAATAATGAGATAAAAAGTTAGATTTGTATCTGATTTTTTTTTAAGGTAAAATAAGATCATCGTCAGCCTTTATAAATTTGCGCAACCTTTTAAGATTCCATTTTGTTACATAACTTAAAAAGTAGGTGATGTATATAAATTTAAGGTTCAAAGTAACACTTGTTTTATAACCTAAATTTCTAAAAAATTAAACTTTAGTAGTTTTAAAAACAAATTATAAAATATCAAAAAATACATATCATTTATAAATAAAAGTTAATTTAATAGTTATATTATTTTTGATAAAGATAATCGAGAGTTTCAAAGATATTTCGAAAATTTAAAAAGATTAAACAAAAAATACTCGAAACTTTAATGCGTGTCATTTACAAGAAGCCGTGTGAACAAAAAAGAGTAATTGCTTTTACTCAGTAATTGGTCAGCTTTACTTGAATAAAAACTTAAGCAAAAAACGATTTAGTTTTTATTCACGTAATGCTGACTAAATACTGAGAAATAGCAATTTCTTATTTTTGTTCAGCCGGCCTAATGCTTTGTGCGTTATTAGTTATTAGGGTCAAAGTGGACATACAAAATATTATAAAAAGTATAATACTATTTCGGTGTTTTTTTTTAATTCTTTTGCGCAATTGGTTTAGAATATTTATTAGGGGGAATAAAAAAATATATGTAAATCTCCAAATGTCTAGTTATCCTAATTTTGTATATTCAAATTTTTACAACTTTTACATAAAACAACTTTAACAGGATAATTTTTTTTAAATATAAAATTAACATTTTTAATTATGTTATTATTAAGACATACTTTTTAAAACTCGCTTACTGTTTTTAAAATAGTTAAGTTCAGCGCGATACAAGTTTTAATCATAAGTTTACTTAAAAAAAAAGGAAAACAAAAACATTTTATTGTTCTATAGACTTTATATTTTAGACATGCACAGGCTATATATCCCTTTTTCCTTAAACAAACTCAACCTAATTGTAGTAAACTTTTGATTTAAAACTAAAAACCTAAAATAATATTTGCCATTTCCAAAATTTGAAGTTTACTTGAATTAATACTTGCATACTCTTCTAAATGCAATTCATTATAAAAAAGTGCCGAGAGACTAGTTTTTATTTTTAACTTGTGTTTAATGGCTGCAGCGAGTTTTGAGCAAACATGCACGAATGACTAATAATGTTATTACTATTAAGTTGTTCAAAAATAAAGTATGGTAACAAACTAAATCTTTAATTGATTTTTATTATATAATAACAAGTATTTTAACAAGGTATTAGTATTCATAACGTAATCATGGTCTCAGTCTTGAGTTGATGTAAACCAAAAAAAAAAATTGTGCATGTCAAAAACACTTTTTATTAACTTAAAAAAATTTTCTAACTAGTTTGAGAACGGTTAATAAACTAACCACGCAAAGTATATATTTTTGTCCTGCAAACCTCAGGCGGTAATTTTCGTAGAGGTAGTATCAAATAAAAAAACTCATTATTGATCTAGTAAACACTTTAACTTAGTAAAAGCATCGCATAAAAAAATGCAATAACTCTTTTACAGTGTCATATTTTAATTTCAAAAAAGCATTTTTAAAATATATCCTAGCCAATCAAGTGCGGTATTATAAACGTTTCATATAATTTATTTAATTACGTTTCAATGTTTTATTTATTTTAGTTCAAGCTCAAATACTCACTCAATGGACAACATTTAGCGATTGTTCAGCAACATGCAATGTAGGTAATCCAATACGCACACGTACACGAACTTGCACACCTCAAAATTTATGTCAAGGAGTTCCTCTTTTTGATACTGCTCCCTGTAACACACAATATGCATGTCCAGGTAACACAGAAAAATACACATACACAAATAAATTCAAACAAAATATAAATATATATATATATATATATATATATATATATATATATATATATATATATATATATATATATATATATATATATATATATATATATATATATATATAATATTAAATAAAGAGTTTTGATTATTTGAAAAAATACAACTTTGTGATGGAACTTAAAGTTTCATGTCCTTCGGCAATCATCAGCCACATTTTATTCTTTAAATTAGGAGAAAACCGTTAAAAAATACAAAAGACAGAAACTAACAGAAAAAAACCATAACAAAGCAATGGAATGAGTTCTGACGTCAAAACAAACAATTTTTTAATTAATTAAAAAATTGCCTTATTACCCGTGTCGAATAGGGCGAGAAGGAACTTGTTTTTATGCCTGCACCTGGATATCATTTCGCTTCTTTTGTTTAGTAGATTTTAATTTTTGTAAAATAGAATTTCATATTTTTTATATGTGCATAGTTTGCAGGATTTCGTGGTTAGATTGTAAGCATTGCACTGCTTAATTATTTTCCATTTAACAACTGGGTTTAATTTGGCATCTTTTAATTTCCAAAGTTCTTTTGATAGTTCAGTGTCATTTTTGCTTTTTAGAATGTTAAATAATTTTATATGGTTGGCATATCTAATTTTGAATGATGTTTCACTTATACCGATGTAGGATTTGTTGTTAGGAGTGTTAGTAGGATTATTGAAACTTAATTTGGCTTGGTATACAATGTTTTTTGTTAAGCATTGGTTTGATAAAGGGCAGGTAATTTTATTAATACAATTGCAGTAGTAATTAGGTGGAATTTTGTTGTTGTTCATAGTTTGTTGATTGTGTGCATTTAAAAAAGGTTTCATATTCGGCATACAGCTATAACTTATTTTTATCTTGTTTTTGTTAAAAATTTTGTGGAGTCTGTGATTTTTTGGAAATTGTTTGTTGATTTAAGATTAAAATGCTTTTTCCTACATTAGTGATAATATTTTTGCTGAAAGGAGGGTAGAACCGTATGATGTTTCGTTCACAGTTTTTGGTATGTGGTAAATTTAAATTAGGGTGATATGAAAGTTTGTGGTTAAAACCAGATCTTAATAGTGCGTCATTGTACATAGGAGTAGATCTTCGGAAGATTTCTTCGCTTGATGAATAAACAGATCTTAACTCAATTGAATGCGGAAGCTGTTTTAAAAAATTAGGCGGGTGGTTTGAATCAGCATGAATATAGTTTAAAGAATTACCTGGTTTCAAATATGGTTGAAAAGTATTGTCGGTGAGATTTAATGTGACGTCAAGATATATATATATATATATATATATATATATATATATATATATATATATATATATATATATATATATATATATATATATATATATATATATGTATAACATGTATGCAGGCTTAAAAGATGGGCAATTACAAGTTTCAAATATATTTTTCAAAATAATTATTTTAACACCTTGCGCCAACAAACGTCATTTTTTTTTAATTTTGAAATTTTTACTAGTTATCAAATATCTGAAGACCTAATTGTGCTACAGACATGTATATGACATTTTTTACAGTTAACAATGTCTATATGACCTGTGGAAAAGATTAGATTTTTATCTTTATTGGATAATCTTGCGCCAAATGATTTTTCAAATTAAAGCAAAAACAAAAAAAAGGCATACTAATCAACCGCTAAAAAGTGCAGATTTTGGCGCTTATTGTTGAGTTCTAAAAAATGTTATGTAAGTTCCTTAACAATATGTATTTTAAATTAAAAATATATATTTGCATATCTTGTCTTTAAAAACTGTTGAAGGGTCAGAGCCCTATCTTTGATTTAAATGCAATTAACCATTTTATGATGCTATACAAATAATACTTTTGCTCACAGGCATTTTTTGAATAACAAGTACAAGATTCGCAAATATTATAAAAACATATCTAAATACTGTGTTGTTTAAGAAGCCTAAAAAATATTTTTACAAAGCGGCACCTATACGTGCGTTAATAATAAATTTTTTATGCATGTTTTATTCAATTGTTTTTAATCTTTTTTTCTTAATGCTTTTTTCTTTCATTAACTTTCATAAATGCAGCTTGTAAATTATTAACTGTGCATCTTTTTTATAAAAACTTTCATGAGTTAATTCAAATATTCAATTTCTTAGTTTAATATAATTTTGTAATTTTTTATTTTGAACCCCGAATGCAGATTGGATCCTTTTAGAAAATAATGAAATTCAAAAACAAAATATGAAGAGAAGAGAAAGTAGTCGTGGAAAGAATTATTTCTTAGTCGGTAAACCAGCGAAGATGCCCTCAGATTACTTCCAACCCGGGCTGATGTTATTAAGCATTTCTTCTATTTAAGGAAAATTATGGTTCCGAATCAGAAAAAAATCGATTTGTTGCTTGCCCTTAAAGTAACAATATTAAGTTATTTTATACATTTTACTTTTAACGAGACTTTACATTATTTTATGAAACATTAATAACCTTTGCTTTTAATAGTTTGAGTTTTCCTTTTTTGTTAAATAAAACAACTTCTTTAGTAATTACAAATAAATTAGTTGTCATAGTGTACAGTGTACCACTGCAGTTACTGCATGTAGCAGGGGATGTATTCTTGAGGGATTATGGTTTTCATGGCATATATCCGTTTTCCATATGATTTAACCAGTTACTCTGCAAAAATATTTAAGTAAATATATTAGTAGATATCTAAACCTTAAGAAGGTTCAGCATAAAATTTAAAAAAGATATATTCAATCTCGTGCTGAGTTTGTTAGGTCTGCAAGAGGTTAAATAATATTTAAATAAACTTTTATTAGTATAATAACTTATAGTTAAGAGATTTTAAAGGAATATATATTTCTAGGGTTATTCTGATTGAGCGATTCAAAAAAATTCTAATCAAAGCCATCAAAATAGACAAGAACAGGATTCCAACTGACAAATTGGAGGATTTACCTTTTCTTTTTTTCTTTTTTTTTTTCTTTTTTTTTTTTTATATTATTTGCCATTAAAAAAAAGAATGCAATGCCGTGTTATATAAATTAAATCTACATGACCGGGGCTAAAAGAAGACAATATTTATTTTATCACTACACCCCGATAATCAAAAACCAAAAATTGAAAGGAGGAGAAAAGTACGTTGTAAGAGAACTAATGCACAAACTGCCAGCATATTAGATGAGCCCAGTACATCCAGAGTTGCTAAAAACCTACCTGGATATTCGTTTTCGGAATCAAAATCAGAGTTTGATGGAGAGAATATGTATGTGCCTAATTAACGAAACAGATATTATAGACAGACTATTAATCTTGCTTAAGAGGATATTAAGGAAATCATGAGAACAGCTATAGAAATGGCTATATCAACCAATATAATAACTGTAACATCGACTAAGCTGATCACACAATCAAAAGGTGATTCCAGTATGCTACCACTTTCGTACACCACAACATTCCAAACAAAAAACAAACATAATTAACAAGAATGCAGATGATATAAAGATTTATATTCAAAATAAGGTTAAACATAATAAAATTATTAAATTGCATTTTGATGAAAAGTTGATCGAGGATACTAATTATGATGACAAAAAAAAGATAATGTTGATGTATATAATATTTTTTTTTTAATTCTTGTTCTTTTAATTCCTAATATAAAAATATTTCTAAGGCTTAATACCAGCTCACAAATATAAACCAGTTGACCAAATTTGCATTATTTTGAGAGTAATGAGGATTAATAATCTGCTTGGAGCTCTAGGAGAACAGCGCTTAATCAGTTCATTGCTAACAAGAGCATTTTGACAGAGTTTGATGCTGCAGATCATGTAAGAGCTGTTTGCTTTAATACTACTGCCAGCAATACTTGAATGATTCGTGGTTCAATATACAAGTAATTTTGATTACGAATGCTAAACGTAAACTAGATGCTCATTAAAATTTGCAATATAAAATTTGAATTTAATTATAAAGAAATCTGAACTATTTATATTTAAAAATCATTCAGGCTTAAAAAAGATTTTGGGAAACCTATGATAATGCTTGCATGCAGACATTATGTTTTAGAAATAGTTCTTAAAGATTTTTGGATGGCTGTAAATATTGAACAAACAATTGTTCCTGAAATTGTTTTATTCAAGGGTCTAAAGGAACAGTGTCATGATTTGAATATTGTAAACTGCGTCACCGCCCACTTTAAATGGCAATATTACCGTGGATCTTGGTTGGAAAAGCAGGCATTTTGTACAAAGAATTAGCTTAGAAAGATTATTGAAACTGGACTTTAAAAAAATTTTGAGGTTGTTATTTGTTAAAAATGTTGCAAGATAAACAGAAAAAAATTTAAATATGTGTATGTAAATAATAAATAAATATAACCTTATAGAGTAAAAAAGAAAGAGTTGATCATCATGAATTAAACGAGTTAGCCCTCGTGTTTTTGGATCCAGAAATTAAACCTACCCACATTCACAAGCCTCGTGCAGTTTATCATGCACGGTTTATGGCTTAGTGCATATATTAACTTAAGATTATGCTTTTTCTTAATAAGACTAAGGAGCTTCTTAATATTAACTAGGAAAAGATCACAGAGGTAGAGAGAATAGCAAACTTAGATCCTACAACAGTTATCTTTGCCCTCGCAAATACAGACAAGTCTGTACCAAATAGCATGAAAAAAGAGATAGCAAAAAAGCTGTTGCAATACCCTAGACCCAAGGTCTATGATTTTGAAATGAAAAATCTTACTAGGTTTGTAAGAGGTAAGGAAGAGTTTGTCTTGTTCGAAGAACTGCGTACCCTTACAGGTTTTGTTGATTATGATTCTTTACTAATTTTTTATATTCTTGAACATGATAAGCTTAATGTCAAATGGCTTTTGTTCTTTTCTGCTGCATGGAAAGTTGATCCTGATTTCTTAGCTTTTAAAACTTTTGTTAAAAATTTGGAGGTGGTCAATAATGTGGCAGACAAAGCTGTAAAGTCAATTCAAGAATTATTGAAAATGACATATAACAAAAAGAAGTTGCAAAAGGTGCTTTTAGTCAAGAGTAAAAATGATAAGCTAGTTTTTCGAACTAAAGCAGCATACAAGAAGGCTGCTGAACAGCTAACTCCAGCAGAGAAGTATCATTTATGAGCAAGTAGTTTTTGAGCCGACGGAGCTGTCTCTATCCAGTGAGAGCGAACTTGACAGCAGCATTGATATTGTAAAAGATATTGATGTTTGGGAGTGTCTATGAGCCGAGAATGAAGCTCTCAATAAATCGGAAATCTAATTCATTTTTGGAAACATTTTTACAAAAAAATTATAATTTTTTTTTTTTTTTTTTTTTTTTTTTTTTAATTTTATTTCATCAGTAAAAAAAAAGAATACAATCCCGTGTAGTATAAATAAGATCTACATGACCGGGGTTAAAAGAAGACAACACTTGCCTTATCACTACATTCCGACGTGCTTCCATAAGCAAGCGTGTACAACCATTAAAAGTTAAATATACAATTACATTGTGCCGTTTAAAAAATTATATACAATTATTTACAAGTATGTTAAGACTAGTTACTAATCTATAATCAAAAGAAAATAGTAAAAAGAAATTTAAAAAAAAAAAAAATCAAAACTATAGATAAGCTAATAGGATAGTTTATAGAGTTAATAAGATAATTGTTAAAAATAAAGAAAAAATAAAAATAAAAAATTTATAAAAAGAATTTAATTTATTAACATCGTTAATAAGTTTTTGTTTCAATTTTTTTTTGAATAGGTAAAGAGAAGAACAATTTTTCAGCTCGTCACTAAATAAAGCGTTCCATAATTTAGGACCTCTTATAGCAATAGAAAATTTGGTAGCCAAATTATGCATTTTAGGTTGCTCATAATTGTACTAAGAAAATCTTGTAGGGTACATGTGATTAATTTTATTGAAAAGTGTACTAAATATTATAGGTGATATTTTATTATGAAGTTTGTACATAAAAATAAGAATTTGATAAAGGTTTAACTGAAAAGCATTGAGTACGTAAAGATTATTAAATAGTTCTTTAGTATGTGTGAATCGACCTGCATTTGAAATAATTCTGACAGCATGTTTTTGTTTACTAAGCAGTTTTTTAGTTTTACTTATATTAGAGCTGCACCAGGCAATGTTTGCATAGTTTATATAACAATGTATGAGAGAGAAATATAAAACTTTTAAGCAGTTTTGGTTTAAAAACTGCTTGGCTTTGAATAGTATACCAATATTTTTTGAAACTTTATTTTCTATTGTACTTATGTGTTCTTTCCATGTTAAGTTTTCATCAAGTATCACTCCTAAAAATTTTATCGATGACTCTCTAATTATTTTAGAGTGCCAATATAAAGATTAGGAAGTTTTAGTGGAATGTTTTCTTTATCGTGAACTCTATAAAAAAAAGTATACTTAGTTTTATTTAAATTTAAGGACAATTTGTTCGCCTTGAACCATTCCGCTAGATTTAAAAGTTCTTTGTTTACTATTTTAAATAAAAGTTTAATATCTCCATTCGAGTAAAATAAATTCGTGTCATCTGCAAATAAAACAGAGTTTAAAATGTTTAATAATAGTAAGGTTTACTTCCACTTTAATTAAAATGGCTGTCATAAAAATGTAAAAATTCTAAAATAATAAAACACTAAGTAAAACAAGTTTGGCTCCATGGATTTAAATTGCATGAAAGGCCCCATTCCATAGGGGAGGAGAGGTGGCGCTGCAGTGCTAAATTAGGGGGGGGGGGGACGCTGCTAAGCAATGCTTTGAAAACGTCAAAAATTTATATTATAAATCATATACATATATATATATATATATTATTAAGTAATTTGCATTTTTATTTTTAAATCACATTAAGTCACAACAATTTGCGTTAAAATCTGCACATTTTAGCAGTTGATTGGTTTTCCTATATTTTTTTTACTTTAATTTGAAAAATCATTTGGCGCAATGTTATCCAATAGAGATAAAAACTCAATTTTTTCCACACGTTATGTTGACAAGTTATTTCAAAATATATCTTTTATTTTTCAAAAAAATTATTTTAACACCTTGCGCCAACTAACTTAAGGCAGATTGGTTATTTATTGAAAATTCTTTTATTAGGGAAAATCGTTTTGATCCTATTATCATTAGATCTAAACTAGGATTTTTATTAAGTGGTCCTCTAAATGTTAGTAGCATGTTCAAAATTAAAAACCATGTTTGCTATATGAGTACAGCTCATGTCATGTTAGTAGGATCACCTTTTTTAAGTATAAATCTAACTTTATATAGCATTTTTGTTAATATTATTGTTATTATATATATATATATATATATATATATATATATATATATATATATATATATATATATATATATATATATATATATATATATATATAACAAAAAAAAATTAGATTTTTAGTTAAAAAAGTTTACAGATAAAGTTTTTAAAAATGAAAAACTGTTTTCCTAAAATTCTAAAATTGAAAAGGTATTGTAAACGTTTGCTAACTAAAATTTTAGAATACAAACTTGGTGATTGGGGTTACTGGAGTGCTTGCTCAGAGTCGTGTAGAGCAACTCAATCTAATCCAACTCGTGTTCGAACTCGTTCATATTGTCTCAGTAACTCAACATCTTCATATCTATGTACACTTAACTATATGGTTAGTTTTGAAACTTGTAACACAGCCTCATGTTTAACAGGTATTGCTAAACTAATTTGCTTAAAAGTTTTTATATTCAAATAACCGATAACTTTAGTTTCTTTTTTTTAGTAAAATCTTGCAATAACATGAACTTTACATTTGTCTTTGTGTTGGATAGTTCATCTAGTGTTGATGATGAAAATTGGGAAAGTGAAAAAAACGTAGTTTTAAGTTTTGTTAGTAGTTCAACTTTCGGAGTGAATCAAAATGTTGATGTAGCTGTGGTAAACTTTGGAACTACTGCCCAAATAGAAGTTGAATGTGGTACGTTTAAGAGTTACACAAGTTTTGCAACTTTTATGAACAATTTAAAAATGTTAGGTGGTGAAACTGCTATACACAAAGGACTTACATATGGTAAAACTGCGTTCCAAAAATGCCAAAAGCTCAACATGTATCCTGTTATAATTCTCCTTACTGATGGTTATGAAAATATGGATATGAATATTGATAGCAACATCATTATTGAAGATAGTATCAAAAAAGAAGCTCTTGTAGTTGCAGGTGTCACACATGAATACAATAAAGGTGAAATAGATAGAATAACAAGCTATATTGTAAATGGACAAAATGTATCTTTTAGCTTCTATGCTAACGACTTTACCAATCTTTTATCCAGCTTAGGAAGCACACTCTACTCCTTTGTCGTCGAAAACAGCCAATGTGAAAGTAATATTTCGTTTAAACTATTTTTTTTTTTTTATACGTTGTGTTTTATCATTAAGAAACAACTGCTAGAAGTTAAAACAAAAGAACTAAAATTATTAGGCTAGTATGCTTGGTGAATACTATTACCTAGAAAAAGAATACTTATTCTGAGAATTCCATTTTAGAGTCATTTTAAAATTAAAAAATTAAGTTTAAATTAAGTTTAAATTAAATTTTTTTGTTAAATTTTTAATTCAGTCTTACTCTTAAGCTTTCATTGAGATTTAAATTCAGGTATATAAATACATGAATGTGTTTATATTTTAATATTATTTTCTCTTTTAAAGTCACTAAAATAACTCCATAATAAAATAAATTTTATGATTGCCAAAATAATTAAAAGCGTAATTTAAAATATTGCAACTTTTATTTTATTTTTTATTTAGTTTTACTATTTGTTGAAGCTTTGTTGAAATTTTAACGCATCTTAGTAGCATTAGTTTTTAAAACATAGCCAAAGATTTTATTTTACTTTAATAAAGCCTTAACTTTAAAGAATTAACAGTCTTTATAAAAAATATTTAACAACATTGTTTTGTAATTAGCACAAGGACAATGGACAGTTTGGTCTACTTGGGGTACTTGTTCTCAAGTTTGTGGAGCAACTGGTTATATACAACGTTCTCGTTCTTGTATAAATCCTACAACAAAGACAGTTCAAGAAGATTGTGAGTTAGATGGCTATAAAGCCAATTTGGACTTTGCGACTTGTTTTCAGCAGTGCGGTAGGTTTAAAGTTTTTTTTTTTTTTTTTTTTTTTTCAAAAATCAAGCAATATTATTTTGAGCTGTTATAAAATACTTTTTGTAGAGGCATATTTTATAAAGCTGATATTTTTATAATCTTCAGAATTAATTTTTCTCTAAACTAAGATTAAAATGTAATAAAAAGAAAACTAGCTTTAGAAATGATTAATTTCAAGCAAAACTAATAAATAGGGTAGTACTTGTGCAAATCGAAGACAAAAAACATAAAATATATATTTATTTTTCTGAATCTAAAATTATATAACTACTATTTCTATATACATTATTAACTTGTCAAAGTATTTTTTAATGAAAACAGCAAAATATAAAATATTGAATATTATAAAACAGAAGTGTGCTTTTTCTGTTTTATTAACCATATTTTCTGACAGGAGTTGTTGCTGTGTGTGCTCAAAAACAAGAACAAAACAAAAAAAACAAGTTTCCACTGATTTCTCTTGGAATCTTTTGATATATATATAGAGATTCTGTGGGTTTATTAAACAATATGGTAAAATAAATTTGATTAAATCAAAAGAACCTATGTTTTTAATGACAAAACCCCATTTTCTATATAATAACTAACTTAAAATTGAAAAATTAAACAAATGCGTCAAAAAAACAAGTTTTGACTCATTTCTTTTGGAATCTTTTGATATATTTTTAAAGATTATGTGGGTTTAATAAAAAAAATGGTAAAATAAACCTGAGTGAATTAAAGAAACCTATGTTATTAATGATAAAACCCCGTTTTCGCTATAATAACAAACTTAAAATTGAAAAACAAATCAAATGCGTAAAAAAACAGGTTTTCAGTCATTTCTATTGGAATCTTTTAACATACTTTTAGAGGTTCTGTGGGTTTATGAAAAATTATGATAATAAAACCCCTTTTTCTATATAAAAACTTGAATAAAATTAAAAAATAAGACAAATGAGTCTTAAAAACAAGTTTTCACTTATTTATTTTAGAACCTTTTGATATATTTTTAGAGATTATGAGGATTTAATAAAAAATATGGTAAAATAATTCTAAGTAAATCAAAGGAACCGATGTTTTTTACGCCAAACCGTTTTTTCTATATAATAGCTAACATAAAATTGACAAAAAGACAAAGGCGTCAAAAAAACAGGATTCCACTTATTACTTTTGATATCTTTTAATATATTTTTAAAGATTCTGTGGAAGAATAAAGAAAAGAAACCTGAGTGAATCAAAGGAATCTATGTTTCTTAACAAAACCCCTTTTTCTATATAATAACTGATAAAGTTGGAAAAAAATACTAATGCTTCAAAAAAACAGGTTTTCACTCAATTTACTATTAAAAGTTTTCAGGGGTTTTATTATCATAATTTTTCATAAACCCACAGAACCTCTAAAAGTATGTTAAAAGATTCCAATAGAAATGACTGAAAACCTGTTTTTTTACGCATTTGATTTGTTTTTCAATTTTAAGTTTGTTATTATAGCGAAAACGGGGTTTTATCATTAATAATATAGGTTTCTTTAATTCACTCAGGTTTATTTTACCATTTTTTTTATTAAACCCACATAATCTTTAAAAATATATCAAAAGATTCCAAAAGAAATGAGTCAAAACTTGTTTTTTTGACGCATTTGTTTAATTTTTCAATTTTAAGTTAGTTATTATATAGAAAATGGGGTTTTGTCATTAAAAACATAGGTTCTTTTGATTTAATCAAATTTATTTTACCATATTGTTTAATAAACCCACAGAATCTCTATATATATATATCAAAAGATTCCAAGAGAAATCAGTGGAAACTTGTTTTTTTTGTTTTGTTCTTGTTTTTGAGCACACACAGCAACAACTCCTGTCAGAAAATATGGTTAATTTTAAATTGAGTGAAAACCTGTTTTTTTGAAGCATTAGTATTTTTTTCCAACTTTAAGTCAGTTATTATTTTTAATAGTAAATTGAGTAAAATAATTCTAAGTAAATCAAAGGAACCGATGTTTTTTACGCCAAACCGTTTTTTCTATATAATAGCTAACATAAAATTGGCAAAAAGACAAAGGCGTCAAAAAAACAGGATTCCACTTATTACTTTTGATATCTTTTAATATATTTTTAAAGATTCTGTGGAAGAATAAAGAAAAGAAACCTGAGTGAATCAAAGGAATCTATGTTTATTAACAAAACCCCTTTTTCTATATAATAACTGACTTAAAGTTGGAAAAAAATACTAATGCTTCAAAAAAACAGGTTTTCACTCAATTCCTTAAGAACCTTTTAATATTTTTTCAGAGATTCTGTAGATGTATTATAGAATATGGTAAAATAATCTTGAGTGAATCAAAGGAATCTATGTTATTAATGACAAAAACCACGTTTTCGATAAAATAACTAACCTAAAAATACAAAATAAAACAAATGCGTCAAAAAAACAGATTTTCAGTCACTTCTTTTGTAATCATTTAATATATTTTCCAAGGTTCTGTGGGTTTATAAAAAAATATGATAAAAGAAACCTGAGTGAATTAAAAAAAACATATTTTATGACAAAACTCCTTTTTTAATATAATAACTAACTTAAAATTCAAAAATAAGACAAATGCGTCAAGTTTTTACCCATTTCTTTTGGAATCTTTTGACATAATTTTACAGAGTCTGAGGGTTTATTAAAAAATCAGGTAAAATAAATTTGAGTGATTCAAAGGAATCTATATTTTTTATGACAAAACACCTTTTTCACCATAATAACTTAGAATTGAAAAATAAGACAAAAGCTTCAAAAAAATCAAGTTTTCACTCATTCCTTTTGGAATACTTTAATATTTTTTCAGAGATTATTTAGGTTTATTATAGAATACGGTAAAAAAAATCTGATTGAATCAAATGAACTTTTGTTTTTTACGACAAAATCTCTTTTTCTATATAATAGCTAACTTATAATTGAAAAATTCGTCAAAAAAAACAAGTTTCTATTGATTTTTTTAGAAATCTTTTGTTATAATTTCAAAGAATTTGTATGTTTATTAAAGAATATGGTAAAAAAAACCTGAGTGAATCAAAAGTACCAAGGTTTTTTATGACAAAACCCCTTTTTTTATAAATAACTAACTAAAAATAAAACAAATGCGTCAAAAAAACAGGTTTTCACTCAATTCTTGAAAAATCTTTTGATATTTTTCAGAGATTCTGAAGAGTTATTATAAAAAATGGTAAAATAAATCTGAGTGAATCAAAGGAATCTATGTTATTAATGACAAAACCCAAATTTCGATATAATAACTAACTTAAAATTAAAAAATAACAATAACGTCAAAAAACAGGTTTTCAGTCACTTCTTTTGTAATCATTTAATATTTTTTCAAAGGCTCTGTGGGTTTATTAAAAAATATGATAAATGGAACCTGTGAGAATTAAAAGAATTTATGTTTTTTATGAAAAAACCCCTTTTTTATATAAAAACTTACTTAAGATGAAAAAATAGGACAAATGCGTCAAAAAAACAAGTTTTCACTCATTTCTTTTAGGATCTTCTAATATATTTTTAGTGGGTCTGTGAGTTTATTAGAAAATATGGTAAAATAAACCTGAGTAAACTAAAGAAATTTATATTATATATATATATATATATATATATATATATATATATATATATATATATATATATATATATATATATATATATATATATATATATATATATATATATATATATATATATATACACATACATAAATATATATATATATATATATATATATGTATATATATATATGTATATATATATGTATATATATATATATATATTTATATATATATATATATATATATATATATATATATATATATATATATATATTTATATATATATATATACATATATATATATATATATATATATATATATATATATATATATATATATATATATATATATATATATATATATATATATATATATATATATGTATAGATATATATATATATATATATATATATATATATATATATATATATATATATATATATATATATATATATATATATATATATATATATATATATATATATATATATATATATATATATATATATTTAACAATGAAATATGTTATTTTCATTGTTAAATATATATATATATATATATATTTAACATATTATATGTCATTATAACAAAATAACGTTAGGTTTAGATTTGAAACGTTTATAATTGTTTAATTTTGTAGTAAAGTATAATTTTTCCAAACCTGATTTATGTCTAGTAACCAAGTTAAAATCGTGATTACTTAAGAATTGGACATAATTTAATTTAGTTTCATGTTTATGTGGTATGCACAGTGGGCCAGGCTGTAACAAAAGTCAAAAAAGTTATTCTTAAAATAAAAAAAATTGTGTGATACATGTATAGTATATATCATTGCCTCTGTAAAATGGATATAATTTTTTTTATAACTCAAAAACTGTTTTTACAGTTACAAACTAAAAAGGGTTCTTTTTTAGATATTCCAAACAACTAAAAATTCAATAAAAAATATGTATTTGTATCGTTTATTTTTGTAAATTTTGAATTATTTTTATAGTTTATTATTTTCTTGGAATAATAACAAAACAAAAATTATATCACTTTTTTTTAGTTTAAAATAATGTGTAAAAAATCTTTATTTTATTTATTAGATAGATATATATATATATATGACCTAATATTTTTTGGAACTTAAGCGAACACATTCATAAGTATATTCAGCAATTGATTAACTTGTTTACTATGAGGTAACACTAGTTTTGGCTGCTACCTCTTGCTACTTTGAGCACTTTCAGGCTTTAAAGCTAAAAATATTTTGTAGAATTTTGTAAAATAGTAATAATCTATGACATCAATGTATCTTTAAAATGGCGAATTTTATGTTGATAAATTCTGTTTATTTTGATGAAATGAGAATGACAAAAAAATATTATTCTTAAATTTGAAAACTTACTACATGTAATAGCTCTACTGCATTCTC